ATATTGTGATTGCAAAATACATACACACACAATTTTTAAAAACTGATTTCCCAAAATGTCTTGTGTATAATTCAGTTTAGGTGCATTTCCCAGCATTACACTTGTCAAGCTGTTGTTGCTCTTTGTAGCCACTTGGGTGCAGTTTAAAATATGAGACAACTAGGAGTGTCAGCTACTTTTGGACAGAGAACTGCTTTTCAATGGAGTGAAACGACTACCGTATTTTTCAGCGTATAAGTCACAGTTTTTTGCATAAATTGCATGCCCTGCGACTTATACATCGAAGCAACTTTATATTTTTTCTTCCATATTTATAAACAAATTTTTGTCTGAGATATGACCGTTTTCATTGACTCTGACATTGAAAATATGTAACACTAGAATTTTCAGCCACTAGTTGGCACTCGAGTAGAATGGCATGCTGTTGTGTCATGTAATAGGTAAAAGTGGCTATTAATGACACAATCAGCTTGCCATATATGCCACCTTGGTCCAACTCGCCTGGAGCAACCGTAAAATCAGCTTCATTTTGTTGCGCCCTACCAGCAAAATGCAGCTAATTTGACCATTGAAGTGCATTTATTAAGTAAAAGTTCAACTGAGACACACGTTTGCTATAATGCCGACCAAACAATTGTTTTAGGTGCTTATCTTGTTAAATTTTGAAGAAATGTACAGCAATTCCTCCTTCCTGATTTCCTCCCTGTCTGCATGCTCCCAGAGCACCGAGGCAGCAAATACGTTTGAAATGCAGCTGATTTTACCATTAAAGTGCATTTATTAAGGAAAAGTTCAACTAAGACACACCTTTATTATAAAGTCGAACAAACAATTGTTCTGAATTGTTAATCTTGTTAAAGTCCTCCCATGTACGCTCCCGGTGACGCTTAATAGATGCAACTTATAGGGTGAAGCGATGTATTTATGTTTTTTTTTTCCTCACTTTGACATATTTAGACTGATGCGGCTTAAACGGCGGTGCGACGTGAACAGTGGAAAATACGGTAAGTACTAATAATAAATAAACCACTTCATCTCTTTAAACTTCCACCTTTTATGGTCTTTTTTATTTCTTCTTCCTTTTCATGAAATCTACTGGTCCTCCTTTTTTAGGTTTAAGATAACTTTAAGCCAAGGTCAACTCCAATGACATTGAACTTTTGTCCTTCCGGAGAGACTTACACATGCCTGCCTGCTTTTGTTGCCTACCAGTGATCTTTCACTTACCCTAGAATGAGAGTAGAATACATATGTGCATAATCCCACAAGTTCCTTTCAGTTCAGGTGAATGGGACGCTGTTTTCGTACAATGCTGATGTGAAGGACGGATTTAAAACAGGACAAACTTTTTCTCAGCATTCAGCTTCATGGAGCCTTATTTTATATTTTATACTTAAGGCCATTCGAACACCTTTTCCTTTTGGTTAAATCAAACATCCATGGTACAAAAAATGTAAATGAATGTCCTGTATTAGTTTCCTGAGATGAAATAAAGGAAGAAGAGACAAAACTGATCTTTTGACTCTCTGGGGGTTAGAAGGATCATTTGTGACGGAGATGATCTAGGCTGGACTATTGCAATGGTTTATTATCTGGGTGTCCAAAAAACTTCTTGAAAAAGTCTTCAGTTGATCCAAAATGTTGCTGCCAGAGTCTTAACTGGAGTTAGTAGGAGAGACCATATCTCTCCAGTTTTAGCTTCTCTCCATTGGCTCCCTGTCAAATCCAGAATTGAATTCAAAATCTTACTTCTAAACATCAAAGCTCTCAACAACCTAGCTCCATCTTGAATTACAGATCTTATTGTTCCATATTTTCCTAACAGAGTACTTCGCTCTCAGGCTGCAGGTTTACTTGTGGTTCCTAGAGTTTCCAAAAGCAGAATGGGAGGAAGGTCTTTCAGTTATCAGGCTCCTCTCTTGTGGAACCAACTTCCAGTTTCTGTCCGTGAGGCTGATACATTGTTCAGTTTTAAGACTGGGATTAAGACTTTGCTTTTTGATAAATCCTATAGTTAGGATCGGCTTGGGTTTCCTGAGCTATCCCTTAGTTATGCTGTTATAGGCTTAAACTGCTGGAGGACAAACCGACTACATTTCCTCACTCTACTGCTGTCTGTACTTGCTCTTTACTACCCGTTTGTATTTGTAATTATTTCTATATTGAACATGTGTTTTTTGTCTTTCCTCCTATAGAAAGTTCACCTGGACCTGTCATTCTGTGTTTGTTTCTTCTTCCTGTTCCTCTCAAACCAGACAGTCAAAACAAATGGCTGCTCATCCTGAGCCTGGTTCTGCTGGAGGTTTCTTCCCACTAAAAGGCAGTTTTTCCTTTCCACTGTTGCCTTTGTGCTTGTTCAGAATGGGAGACTGACAGAGTGAAGATTCATCGCAGTCTGATGGCTTCCATAGATAGATAAGTTTACTAACTGGATTTTTTATTTATTTAATGTGAATGTTTTTGTACAGTGCCCTGAGACAACTTCTGTTGTGACTTGGATCTGTAGAATTAAACTGAATTGAATTGAATTTGTCTCAGAATGGAACTGTTAAAAAGTCCCACATGTTCACACATAATGTTCCATCAGGATAACACTGTGATTGCAAAATACTCAGCAATGGTCCACCTGGCCATACCGTTCTGTTCGTAGATTTGACTATCAACAACGACAGAGTGTTGTGGAAGTTGTAATGATAAAGGAGATGATGGTTCAACCCATGAATTTTATTATCCGCGCCACTATGCCAAGCGCCACAATAGAATATGCTGTTCTATTTCATATAGGCATCGCCTTTTAAGTTTGTTGCTGATGGGTTTATCCCGATATGCGAAGCATCACACTGAAAAATTTAGTCCACGCCCACCTGCTGTGTGGGCCCCACCCGGTCCATATAAATTACGTTAAGGGCAGGTAATCGGCTCCCATTTTTCTTCAGCGAGCTAATAGCACTGTCAGAAGAACGAAGAAGGAAAGTTGTGTAGATGACCAACCTTTGTTAAGAATGCTTGGCCCGTCACGTCAACCTCCGGTCGTCCCGGTGAGCTCTCCTCCCCGAGGAGAAGCTGACGAGCAGTCTTGTTTCAAGGTAAGCGCCGAGGAGTAGTTCTCAGTGACAGGTCGTTACACGCTGGACAACGCCATCTTGTAATTTTCCGCTTATCACCGACCCTCGGAGTAAATCGGATGGTTCCTCCGGGACAGGCGGCGTCAGCTGCAGCCCCGCTGCTCATTCCCTCCTGGAGAGCGTAGTGTCGGTGGAAGGGGGCTGAGCGAATGCTCACCTCATCCCACTCGTTTCGCATCAGCGATCACACCGCTCCCGGCCGACGGCGCCCTCTGGGGTTTTTGCCCGGCGTAACCTAGGAGGCAGCTGACATGAAGGAACCCTTTTTTACGTCCCGCGCCTTTTCTCGCCAGTTCGGATGATCCGGAGGGAAGGTTTTTTTCTGTGCACCATCTGGCTCGCCATCCTGATCCCATCTGGCCTCGGTTTTCCCAACAGGACGTCCTACGGGGACGAGGCCACAGCCGTTTTCCTGGTAGATTGGAGGGCCGGCTTCCAGTCCGCATCCATCACCAGAGTAAAGGGGTTTCACTGAGTGGAAATTCCCTCAGTGCCCCCTGGAGCCGAGCCTGACGGAGACTTTTCTCAGAGCAAGATGTCCAGGTGGACCAGCGTCCCGCGCCTCCGGTTAGCGTAACCCAGACGGTGACACCTCTCTCCGACCGAGCTCACCAGCATGCTTTTCAGACGGCCGCAGCAAACAACACGTTATGCTGTTGGCCTACACGTTCAGAGGTGGGAAGAGACGTACGCTCCCTCTGCAGGGCAGCTGACGTCATCTTCAACCGGTGCGCCACTTTGCTGTCTGCCGGCCCGCAATGCAGCCGGAGGACCGAGTTTTCAGCGTTTCCCTGAGACCGCCAACAGATGGGACTCTAGGACAACAAATGGCAAAGCAAATAACGTTTTTTGCGGAGGATGTGTGTGAAGGTGACACGAGTTTGGTTTAAAACATCATTTAAGGATGAAAGTGTATTTTTGGCCAGTCCGTAAGCTCGTATAAACTCACAGCGGCTCCCTCTCACATCCTCCACACAAAATGAGCTGGTGGCAAGATGTTCCATGGCCATCTCGCTGAACGTCACAGCAGCCCCACCCATCAGAGACTGGCTCTCTTCATCCCGACAACAGTGTCCAACGTTTTCCCA